GTTAGAATGGTGCTGGACATTACAGAATATTTGGAATAACATAATGAAAAACAAGCTGCATTAATTTTTTGGATGCAGAGAAAGCTTTTGACAGCTTAGATTGGCCTTTTGTGTTCAAAGTTTTAGAAGATATGAACTTTGGAGAGAACTTATAAAAGAAGTGAAATCGATCCACCACATCACAGAAAGTGCAAATTATTGTGAATGGAGACTTAACTAAATCATGTGAGATACAAAAGTGAACAAGACAAGGTTGCCTATTGTCTCTCTTGTTTATTTTAGTTTTGGAAGTTTTGAATAAAGATATAAGGAGAGATGAGAAGATAAGGGGCATAAAAATCAAGAAAGAGACATATAAGTCGAGGGCCTTTGCAGATGATTTGGTGTTGTGTTGGAGGATCCCCTGAAGGGGATTGAAGCTTTAATGAAGAAGTTGAAAGAATGTGGTGTTTTGGCTAGTTTTAAAATTAATAAAATACAAAAATGTTAATGAAAAATAGGATACAAGAACAAGAAGAACTAATGAATAAAACATGTTTTAAGCTGGAGAAAAAGGTTAACTATTTGGGGGTGAATTTGACAAATAGTAATTGTATGGAGTTTCAAAATAATTATGTTAAGACTTGGAATGAAATCAAAAAAAGATATGTTAAGATGGGAAAATTACAATTGTCATTGTTGGGAAGAATTTCAGTAATTAAAATGAATGTTTTACCTAGAATGTTATTTTTGTTTCAAACAATACCCATTATGGCAACCGGGGTTCCATTTAAACAATGGTATAAAGATATATCTGAATTTGTGTGGCAAGGTAAAAAACCAAGAATTAAGTACAAGGTTTTATAGGATGCTAAAGAAAGAGAAGGTTTAGGTCTCCCAAATTTGAAGATGTACTTTGCAGCTTGTTGTTTGGTTTAGATGAAAGAGTGAGTGACTTTGAGAAATAGGAGGTTATTGGAACTAGAGGAACATGACTTAAGATTTGGTTGGTACAGCTATTTATGGTATGATAAAGTTAATGTAGATTTTAAAAATCATTAGACATGCCATACTGAGAATATGGAACAGATATAAATCTGAGTTCTCTCTGAAAGTTCCTTTATGATTGTTACCACAAGAAACTTTTTCTAGCAGAGAAATTATAACTAAAAATAAATGGTTAACTTATGGTGACATATTGGAATTTTCTCAAAGGAATTTTAAATTAAAGACAAGAGAAGAATTGATATCAGAAGGTTACATGTGTCAATGGTTTTCTTATGTACAATTACAAAAAAGATTTAAAATAGTTAAAAGGACTTATGGTTTTGAATATGACAAGACTGAATTTGAAGCAGAATTATGTACTAATGATGACATGTTATTACAAAGATGTATAAACTTTTATTGAACCTAGAGACAGAAGATGAACAAGTTAAGGACTGTATGATAAAATGGACTAAAATCTTGGTTACAATGTACAGATGGAACTATGGGAAAATTTGTGGCAGAAAGGACTGAAATTTATATTTGGTTATAACCTTAAAGAAAATTTTTATAAAAGGGTGTATCGTTGGTACTTGTCACTAGAAAATGTATAAAGGTACTTCAAATGTATACTGGAAATGTGAAGAAGAAGGGACATTTTATCATCTCTGGTGGACTTGTAAAAAAGCAGAAATTAAAAAAAAAATGGAATGAGATACATATTTGTATACAAAAGATTTTAAAAATTAATATTCAAGCAAAACCAGAGACTTTCCTTTTGGGTTATAGCTTTCATAAGAGTAGAAAATATTATCATATAGGAATGTTTTCTGTTATAGTACTCGATTTCAAATTCCCATTCCTCCATAATTTCCTCACTTGAAAGTATAAGGTTTCTTGTTACTGTGATAAGAGTTTTAAATCCACAAATTTCTTTCAAATATGCAGTAGTTTGAGGTTGCAGTTCTGTGCATATTTACAAGGGAGTAAGACCCATACAACACAGCGTCACTTATGTCTGAGTAAATATGCATACTATGCATTGTGGAGCTCTTTAACTCATTAAATGCTTAACCGTTTTTATTCTCTTGTTTGTTTTGCCCTTCATTTTCAAGCAATGCTTATGAGAGAGTAGGCAAGTTGTTTGCACCTGGACAGTTCTTCTTTTGGCACCTGACAGGGTCTCTCCCTCACCTGGTTTTTAATTTTGTTTTCTAGGTTCAATTTTAAAAGTACCTAGAAGCAGCAAAGGGAGTGGAGTAATCATTTGGGGACAGATGCTAAAAGATCCCCCTAGGCCTTTGTTTAGTCATCTGCTGAGTCACACTGGTCCTGTAAATTTAACATCTCCTCGCCATGTAGCTGTGCAGTTACATATGTAGGCAGCCTCTGCTAATACTCTTCTCAAAATCTTACCCATTTGTCACCTCCTCCAAAGTGATGATTTGGCACCAGTGTGTGCATATAACAGTTTCAAGGAAAATGAGAAGAGGTTCACAGTATTCTCTAATGAAACAATATAATGCTCTAAAGTCAAGTCTTAGTATTCCCTTATGAAAATTAGTACTATAAACTAGTTCAATATGACATTCCACCTTCAAGTGGCAGCAGGAAACTTTTGTATTCAAAAGCAGATTTGCCTTCATAATTGTTATATGGGATATTGGAGTATAATTTTTAAATGCAAGAGGATTTGTGGACTGGAGATACAGAATCTTTTCCTCATTCTTTTTCTTTACAGTCACCCCCTACCCTTCCTCCCAATAAATCTTTTTTATTCTTTTTCAACTGGTGCCATATATATTTTGGAGCCAAGATGGAAGCTTGCTTGCTCGCTCGCTCGCTCTCTCGCTCACTCACTCTCTCTCTCTCTATATATATAGAGAGAGAGAGCTAGTGAGTGAGATAGCGAGAGAGAGAGAGAGAGAGAGAATAGAATGATTCTGTTCACTCATAGTGCTAAGCCTGTTTAAACTATAGCTTATAAAATACACCAAGTAAACCAAACCAAATAAACCACATTACGGTTTATCAATGCATTTAGTTATTTCCTTCCTTCAGTTTAGATGCCCCTCTCCTCAGGGAGTCTCCTGAGGTTTATTTTGTAGGGTTTAGTATATTGTAACTCAGTTCCCCATTCTGAAAGACAACTGATCATCTGATATCCACTGCAGCTGCAATACAAAACACAACTTTATTACTGTTTTCAATCATTTCGATTTGTGTGTGTGTGTGTACATATATAACATAAATGAATTTAAGCTGGTTAGGGACAAAAGTATGATTTTCACAAGTAGAAAGCAACTGTTGGAATATAACTTACTAATAAGCAGCAACCTCTTAACAGTATTAGTGGCCTTAAGCTTTTCCCAAAGTTATTTAATTCCTAATTAAGTCCCTAGCTCTGACAGGTGGGAAGCTACTTCATTTGTATGATTTTGCTTTTTCATTTTAGACATATGGAGTTGACTCTAATAGATATTTCTCTATTTTTGTAATATAGTAAATTGTATCCTGTATATACATGCAAATGGCATGCATAGGCATGCATATTCATCAACCGAAGGGTTTCTATGGAAGAGTTTTGATATAATGGCTTTCTGTCTGGCTCCTCTCAATAATATTATATAGTCTTTTCTCATCTTTGTTATTTAGTAGAAGCATGACTACACATAGGCAAGATAGCTTAAGATTTAACTTTCATGACTAACACATGAAGGACAGGAAGTCAAGATATGCACTTGGAGAAATTTTATTTTTCAAAATCCTTAATTTAGTAGGAAATTGAATGAAAGGTGTTCCCTGAGGCCATCACACCTTATCAGTCAACAGCCATGGTCACATGTCATTTAAGCCATGGTAAATAGTTGATATAAACATGTTCCAAATAATCAGATTGCAGTTGTCTCCTCCCTCTAAGCCACACAGTTTCAAAATCGTCTATCAGGTTTAGTAAGTATGTTGTATGCTAAGTGCAGGAATGAGATAGGCAAGACAGAAACCATTTCACAAGCTAGGGAAAACCACTATGTCAAACTAGATCAGGTGTGTTCCAAAGACCTTTAAGAGAATGGCTAAGTATCTGCAAGTCAGAAAATCAGGAGAAGAAACCTAGAATTTAAACAGTGGAACATGAACCTATATGTAGAATTTAACTTTTGCTTCACTCTTGTCTGGTGTGAAGAGATTAATATTGCTGAGTCATGTCCATAAGCCTTCTGATGAGTAAACCAATTCCTGAATAAGGAGTTAAGTGTCCAGACATCCAAGATTTACAGTATTGACTGGTGTGAAGCTTATGGCTAGCGCAATGCAGAATTAGAGGGTGCATGATGAAGAGGCAGCAGATGCAAGTAGACACATTTACGACACATTCACATTTATTGTGTGGCTTAGCTTGATACCCAAATGAAGTATTTTGTAGTTCATATAACTAAAATAAATATGAATACAAGCCTATTTTGCCAGACTTTCAATTGTTAATGTTATATTTAGGTTTATTGTATTTTGTTTTATTTTGAACTTAATTTTTGTTAACAGCCTTGTGTACTCATTGTATGTAACTATTTCAGAAAACCTTTTCATGAGATATAGACAGGGGACTTAAATAACAGAATCTAGGTTTTGTGCACACAACATTTCAGGTTCAGCATCAAGGATCCTGACTGAAAGGATTAGAAGTATTTGTAGTGCTAGAAAATACTCTGCTCTGTAGTTTCTAGAAATCTGCTGTCTGAGTGACCCCCTCCCCAGCTTTGAGCCCAGATAATGATAACCTACAACTCCCATCCTTCCCTGGCAGCTTGGCAATTCATATAAAGCAGCTTTGCCAATAAAGTAGCTCATGGCTTGTAGGTGAATGTTCTATGCAGAAGTCATTATTACAGGAATAGTTCTGCTTGACAAGACAGGTTCCTAAGTTCAACTACGTTCCATAAGCAATTATTTCCTGCAAAATATTCATAATTACATCTACAGCTAAAAATAAATATTGGGAAAGGCAAATTTGGTATTTCATAGAATAATCCTTTTTTCTTTCATTATTGCATTTTTCTCAGCTCGACCTTACCAAACGAATAGAAGATCAGGGCCCGTTAGATGTGATCATACATAAACTGACAGATGTCCTAATTGAAGCTGACCAAAATGACAGCCAGTCATTGGAGTTGGTTCACAGGTTCCAGGTGAGTAATATTTATCATATGCAATTATCAGCTGCGTTAACTCTTCAATCCCTTGCCCTTCTGCAAACAATTCTTTTAGTCCACAATTGAAAATTGCCTAAAAATATTTGCTGTAAAGAAGCAGAATACGGAACTTGCTCTTGGCCTTCCTTCATGGTCAACAAACTACGACAACTGAATCTTCCTCATCCCCATAACACACTGACAAACTTCATATTGCCTTAGGTTAAAAAACACACCTCTCAAAAACAATGAAAAAGTGTGGCATGAATAAATAAAATAAACATGTGAAGAGGTGCAAATCACACATAGAAGAGTACTGAATTATAATTTTGTCAATAGCACTGTTAAATAGAGGAAATGCCTTGATCAAATGGTTTTGTTCAAGTTTCAGATGGGGGGAATGTATTTTCTTCAAGCAAAAATATGTATTATGTGCAACAAAACATACTACCAAAATCCACCTTCCCGTGTAACTTGTAGCATTATTTATGTTGTTAATATCCCTGGCTAGCAACTATGGCAAAATGTATAATCTGAAGGATGTCTCAATGTAAGGAAAATATCACTGTCTGAAGAGGCACAATGTTGGCAGTGACCAGGAAAGCTTTCTTTCAGCTCAGGTATATTCATCTAGAGCCAAAACTGATCTTAATTAAGCTAAACAGCTCAAAGATATGGCTGCTTAGATGTATATGGAGTCAGAGACTCTTAATACATAACCACAACACAATTTTATATCAATTGAATTGATTATCAATTTGAATTGCTTGTTTGTCTTAAAACCTTACCAGTTTGGAACTTGTTACCTAAATATCCACCTTCATTTATATGACATTGCAGATACATTAATTTCTTCTTCAGAAGCCCTGTTAATGTGTCTGCTGGTAAAATCTATCACACAAGGAACAAAATTGTCTTGATCCAACAGTTATGAAACTCAATTGTAGTTGATTTAACTTAACTCCTTATATAAACAACTTTAAGAAGGCCTTGAACACTTCTTGCTTCACTGCTGTCATTTCTTAAGGGTTTAAGTGGCATTTGTGAGTCACAGAATTTTTATCTTATAATTTCTGATATATCTAACATATCTTATCTCACTCTTCTTATATGGACTTTAGTCCTTGGCTCTGAAACATTAGGGTGATATTATGAGGGCTTGGCTTTAAAAGTACATTGAATAAATAAAATATAAAATGAGTAGTTCTTCCTTTAAGTCTAACAGTAATAATCATTATGTTATAGTGCCTAAGCAAAAGAAAAATTAACTAGGCCAGGCAGTTAAAAGCATGAGTTACTTATCTTTAAATGCAAAATGCACGTATGACTAGTTTCTTGTATTTCTTTTAAGAGATACAGTTCGTACAAATAATTTCTGACCTAGATTGAAAATGACTGCTTTGGCAAATTTTATATTGCTGACACTTCTTCTTTTTGGACCATACTGTGGAGACACACTTCAAGGTGAAATGTACTTAAATGAGAAACTATTCCAAATAATATCCACAATTGGATAATCTTTACCTTTAAAGTGGATATTTTGAATTGATGCTTGTTTCAAATTGCTTGCTTTTAGTTTTGGAAGATTAGCACATTCAATAGGTGAGCTTGAAATAAGCTCTTAGTTCTTAGGTATTAAGATGAGGACAGTATTTAAATGAAGCAAATAATGGACGATTCTTATATAGTGATTGTAGTCTATTATCAGATTTCATGGGAATTAAGTCAGTAAAATTGTTATTCGTAGAGATAATTCTGTTTTGATTTTCAAAATGGTTTTCTCTGTGCCATTATGTGACATGCTTAGGTGTGCCCTGGGCTCATTATTAATAAATTAAATTATATTTTGATTATTTCATATGAATTAATAAAATAGTGCTTCCATCCTATTTTTTAAGACTTGGCACCAACAATGTTCTAAAAATCCCCATTGGGCTTGGGGATCCCAAGGAAAGGTGGAGCCTGTTAAATGGCTACCCTGTATGTAGTTAGACTGCACTCTCCTCTGTTTTTTTGTTACAATACTGTATTTTTTAAATGTAACTTTTAATTGTTTTTTAATTGATTTTAATGGTGGAAGACTATGATTGTTAGTTGTGTTTTAACTGTGTACACTGCCTAGAGTCACATGCAAATGAGATGGGCAACCATATAAATTTAATAAATACATTAAATAAATAAAAGTTTCACACCTTGTATTACATATATTAAGCCTTGTAGAAAATTGGTGACCTGGCTCTATATGCATACAGTTGTATACGTGCATTTTGTTTTTGTTTATGTTAGTTCCAAATATCTTCTTATGCTTTTGTAGCGGGCACAAAGAACAGGTTTACCTCCAACCCAAGTGCTTTCCTGGAACACACCTTCCCCATATCAAAGGATGGTTGCCATTCTCTCCTATAAGATAATAAAATCCTGTGATTGAGATTACTGTTATCATGCCTCTTCTGCCCTTATGCTAGGGTATGCTGCTTTTTACTAACATTCTTACATAGTTCATTTTATTTCTTTTAGTCAGTAACATGTTGATTAAGTGCTTTTATTATACAGGTAGTCCTCGGTTAATGACTGCCCTGTTTAGCGACCTTTGAATTTAATGACGGTACTGAAAAAGTAGGTTTACGACTGGTCCTTGAACTTATGATGGTTACAGCATTCCCACAGTCACGTGATTGCAATTCAAGCACTTGGTAACTGGCATGCATTTACGACGGTTGCAGTGTCCCATGGTCACATGATCACCATTAGTGAGCATTACAGCCAGCTTCCAGCAAGCAAAGTCAATGGAAAGCTGGCAGTAATTTGCAACTTGTGGTCATGTGACATCATGCTTAACGACTGCAAGTGATTCGCTTAATGACCACAGCAAATTAACATGGTAAGCTGGGCACATTTACGTGATGTTTCACTTAATGACTGCGCCACTTAGTGATGGAGCTGCTGGTCCCAATTGCAGTCGTTAAATGAGAACTACCTGTACTTTTGATTTAGCATTGAAATCAATCTCTCTCTCTCTCTCTCTCTCTCTCTCACACACACACACACGCACACACACACACACATTTTCCATGTGCTCACATGCATGTTCTTCATCCTGATGGAGATTATGTTACCAAGCTGATTATTATAACTTACACTGCACCAGATTTTGCAGCTAAGCATCCCAGATTCTGTTACAGGAATAATTAAGGTGATAACAAGCCAGTGTATATACATCTGGTTCCTCTACATAATTCAAGATCCAACGACCAAATTGGATAGCTTTGGCAACTGTTGGAAGGGAGAAAAGAATACAGGGATGGTGAACACAGAGAAAAGGTGATATTCGGTTACAAGAAAAAAATTGTATACAGATTATGATTTTCAATTATTGTTCATATTGTTAATAGTTAATAGATTTAAAAAGTCGTTAATTTTTAAGAAATATTCTCAGACAATCATTGCCTGTCCTCAGTTTTGGGGAGGCACAAGAGGAGGAATTCTTTCTCCTGTTACCGGACACTTCTGGAGGTTAGCCAATAGTAGAACCCATACAACTGAATTTTTATTATAATTATTATTTATATATCAAACATAGTAACCCATACATTACATAATGGTTATGTAAAAGGAAAAACCCTGCCAACAAATATGTGGTTTACTATAAAAAGGCAAGGGAATAAGGAAGGGGACTTGAAAAGGAGAGGTAGCTATTAGAGATAGGAGGTTGGCAGAAGTGATTTTCTGAGAAAAAGGACAGAGAGACCATACAGGCATGAAACAGAGGAAGTAACTGAAGTTTAACTAAGAAGACAGTACTGGAATGAAGTAAACAAGTAGTCAAATAAGAAATTAGATGAGAGGAAGTGAAGAAGTTTAATTCTGAAAAAGAAGGAACTTAAATGGGATTAGACAAAGTATTGGAAGCATGGAAACAGAATGTGAAAGGATGAGAGAAAAATGCAAATGGCAGTGAAAAAACTGTTAAAGCCTTTCTTAAAAGTAAAGGGCACTTGCTCCCCCCTCAACAAAGATATTTCAAGGTGTAACCAACAAATGGAGGAGGGAGGAGCATGTTATTTAGGTTAAGAGGAAAAAGAGAGGTTTGGAATCAATTTTGCATTATTTACTGGTTATTTTCACAGGTAACTCATTCAGATTTCTGGAGAATGCCTGAAATGTCTTGTTTACAAGCAGTTGCCGGTACAGTCTGCTTGATTGCTCCCGCTTGGCTGCAGGTACTGATGGTGGACAAAGCCAAGCAAGAGCAGATGAGGAGCTTCTGTGACCACACTGCTTACAACAATAAACAAGGATTCCTACAATTCTCGTAACATTTTTTTGTAAACCCAATAGATAAAGGGACATCTGTTCAAAAAATAGAGAAGATGAGATGTTATTAGAAAGGAAACATAGAGAAGGATCAGGAAAAACAAAACGAAAAGGCACATTATTCACATAAATGTGGTAATGTTAAAATAATGAATTATAGGATGGATAGGAAGGATATAAAAAGAAGGGGATCACATTTATCCCTGAAGAGTTCCCATACAAAAGGGAGGAAATCTTAGCATTAATAGAAAGAAGATAAGTCTAGAATAAGGAAGGCACATGTCCACCAACATTTAAAGAGTTCTGGAAGAAGAACCAAAACAATACATTATGTAAAATGAAAGCTACATTCTATGTACTTGAATGCTTTTATGTTACAGAAGGGTCTTTTACAGACACCACATAATTCACATAGATGTTTTTATGAAGGACATAAATTTTCAGGTAATCTTAGTTTTTCTTTAACTTCTTCCTCATCCTTGTTTCTTCAGCTCGCTAGACATTGTCCAACAATTTGCAAAAAGCTGTAAAAAATATTAAGGTGGCTGATGAGTTTCCTTGGATGCTTTTTTCAGGAAAAAATGGGCAAAGACAAGAAAAAGGGGAGTTCATCAGTGAATGTTTTCCTTGGGTCTGCTTTTATCTCCATAAGGAACAAGTCATTAGTTGCTGGTGTTTTAATT